TCTTTGTTCTAAGATGTCCTTTGATAGCTGTGAACATGTAAATTGAAGCAGCATGACAGTGAGCAAAAGTGGTGGAAACTGCAGGAATACATACCTGGACAGTTTCAACGTACATGTTCTTTGTTCTAAGATGTCCTTTGATAGCTGTGAACATGTAAACTGAAGCAGCATGACAGTGAACAAGGGTGGTGGAAACTGCAGGAAGACATACCAGAACATTGTTAACTTACATGTTCTTTGTTCTATGATGTCCTATGTTGTTCTAAGATGTCCTTTGATAGCTGCAAAAATGTAGTTTGAAACAGCTTGACAGTTAACAAAAACTGCTGATTCTGCTTTGACATGTTGAGAAATGCCATACTATTCAATGAAGCCTCAAAAATGTAACTTACATTTTTAGATAAATGAAGTTACATTTTTCTGACCTGTTGGATGTTTGACCAATTAAGAAACCTCACAATTGTAAGTTACAATTTGTCAGGCAAATTCGTTTTTGTAAGTTACATTTTTGAGGTATCAAACCTAGGAAATTGTAACTTACAATTAGGTGACCCCCCTAGGTAATCGGTAGGTTGCGGTAGGTTTTTTTAAATTATGGTTATGAGGATTATATGGCAGGTATGGTAATTGACGGATGATGGATGATGACGATGATGGTGGTGGTGATGGTGATGATCATAAGTATTACGATGTTTATTATCATGGCTTGATAACTGATGGATGATGTGATGATGATGATGATGGTGGTGGTGGTGGTGGTGATGGTGATGGTGATGGTGATGGTGAGGTTGTTGTCGTTGTTGCATGTTTCTCTCAGGCTGCAGAGCTTGCTGACCATCGTGCCTGGCTTGGGGAGGAACTTGAAACTTGGACGGTGCAAAGGGCAAAATCTTCAGACCTTTTGTAGAGCGACACATTTGTAGGGCGGATGGTTCGACATATCGTGCGAAAGACAAAAGTGACGACATGTGTTGAAATCAATTTTTCCTTCCATTCTTGCTCTTACTTACTGTTCCTTTTACAGCAGATGTACTTTTTGTTGATTTTTTCCCCGCCTTGCAGGATCAGCGGTGGCTCCTAACCTTGGAAACTCGATTGAAGGAGGAGAAACTGACACGTTGATTTACATTCGCCTTGAAGGGCAAAACTCGGCCGTGAAAAATGGATTGAGGAGCAGAAAAAGGCTTCTGAGCTCGAAGACCAGCTGCTGAAGGAAAGGGTTAGGTGAAGTCCTTGAGCAAAGCACAGCAAGTCAAAGCATAGCGAGTTGTAAAGTTGATGTTCAATTTGTATCGCTAGGTTTCTTCGTATCGATTCCCATCTCATTTGCAACTGCTGCAAACATCTTCCAAACATGTTTTTCCGGCGATCAATCTCCGAAAGATGTCTTTTCAGGTGCGCTCGACGATTGGAAGACATGTCCGAAGAGATTCTGCAAGAGAAGGTGGAACTTCTTGTGCCTGTACTAGTCAAGTTCTTACAAAGCTGAATGTGTGGAATAATGGGCCAGCCAGATTCCATTTGATGTAGGCCAAAAGGCTTGAGCTACAGAAGCCAGGGCCACCAGAAAGAGAACGCCAGCAGAAGGAGTTGGGAATAGCTCCTGATTTGTTTCGCTATCAAGCCTGTTTGAGCCTCGACCAAACCCTCCTACAACAAGTTGTAGAAGGTTGTACTCGTGGATCTATGTGGTGTAGTACTGCACGCATTAGAAATGCGTACAATGAAAATGCGTACAATGACTCTTATTGCTTTCACCAATCCACCTATCAAAGTCAAGGAAAGGCCTCAAGAATTGCCCATACCTTCATCTCAGCTGCCAACAAAATATAGTATGCCAGATTGTCATGGCTGCTCTCAGAGTTCGGAGAACCTTCACAACTGGATCCATCACCAATACTGTACTCCTCCATACACTGACTGTTTTTCGGGCAAGAAACACACTGATAACAGACAGTGCTCTACTTCCAAGTGTTCATGTGAGAGCTTTGTGTTCAACACCTACAACCCAATTTGCTCATGGCCATTGTCTGATAATTTTGCCTTGCTTGGTCAATCGGATTCAATGGGGTTGATTTGTGGAGAGAACACAATTTTGTGGAGTTGACAATGCATGAGTGTGGTAGAGGTTACTTCCTCCCCCCGTATGCCATTTTTGGCTCCAGCTGAGTCGAACCACAGGCGGGCATGGGCGAGTTGGTGGTTTCTGCCATTCCCGAGGACCAGGGAGGTTTCGATCCTCTGGTCATCTTGGGTGTGGTGTGGGCACTGACACTCTTTGCCGGCATCGTAGTCGGGTGGGCGTGCTGTCGTGCACCTGCCCCCCGGACTGCGGCCGGTGAAGACGCCCTGGTCGCCTGGGAACGACTGACGCGGCGCGCCATCAAGTTCGTCAACAAGAGGCGCCGAGTCGGCGTAGCTTTCAACGGCTACAAGAGGTTCACCCTTCGCAACACAGAAGGGTCTCGCCCGACACAGGGCCGTCGCGCACGAAGGAGATCTACCACGCCAGGAGCACCTCTACTCCACGAAGGCCCGGTGGTGAACCATGGACCCCACGGAAGGTGAACTTCAAACCATCACCAACCTGGCGGAAGCTCGCGCTTGGTGCGGGGTGGAAGGACCCCTGGCTGACGCCCTGCATGCAGCCTTGGGGCAACCCGCACGGGTACGAGAGATCGCCCTCATTCCCAGGCCGACTTGGGATCGAGTGGTGACAAACCTACAGATCCAAGATGGAGGAGACCCTAGGCCGCCGCCTCGAGCTCTCACTCCGGTCGAGGAGGCACGGCTGGAATCCTTCAGGAGAGTCTGTTGCCTACGGTCGGGGAGACCCATCGACCTGCCAGGCGATCCTGCAGCGGCCACTCCGGCGGTAGCTCCAGCCCCCTTCCCCGCAGCGGGAGGGGCTCCGGCACCCGCCCCAGGGGGTCCACAGGCTCGCAAGTTGAAGTTGAGCGCAGTCCTCGACCCGACGCTGGACGCAGAGATCCAACCGTTGGGTGATGCTGAAGTCACGGGCATGTACGAGCGTTACCGCAACCGCTATGGAGACTTCCCCAGTGTGGATGCCGACGTGAGTCGTGATCAGTTGGCCGCACTGAGTCAGGTCTTAGCGGCGCACGCGGTCCCGTACGCCGACTTCTCGATCTTTGGCCCGCATGGTCAGCGCCTCCTTCGCCGCCAGACCTTTCAGAGCTACAGCCTCAACGTCTCCACGGGCGAATGGGCCAAGAAAGAGCAGCCTGGACCTGGTTCCTTCTATGAATGGTACAAAGCCTGGAGGTGCTACAGGACTGCACTCCTCCTGTTGGAGGCGGCGGAGGCTGAACGGCTGGATGCCTACGCCGAACACATCCGGGGGTTTGTCACCCAATTCGGAGAGGAGGCGTGGCCGTTCATCTGCAAGGCCGACAGCCGCATGCGCTCTGAGCAGCTCGAAAGGTTGAGGCGGGAGCTAAACGCCAACCCCACCTTCGGCTTCACAGCAGCTGCGCCCTGGAACGCCTGCTACGCCTACGCCGTGAAGGACACAGAGTTCTGGAACAAGGAGCTCACCACGCCAACCACCCTGTTTCTGCCACGGGACAGGGGCTCGGGAGAACCCAAGCCGTACGGCAGAGGGTCGGCAGAGGCAGCCATCGCAGCGGCACAAGACCCGCAAGCATGCAGAGCGGAGCTGTCGAAAGACATCATGGCGGAGTCGACCAAAGGTCCGGCCGCTTCACGTCAGAAACTTTGGGCTACGCTGGCCGTGACCGCGGGATGGTCAGACCCTTTCCACTTGGACCCAAACATGATCTTCACCGTCATGGGGGCTCTCAAGACTGGAGGGTATCGATCAGCACAGCTCTACCTGGACACTGCGAAGAACTGTCACATTGCCCTCGGTCAGCCATGGGATTGCCAGCTTCAACAAGCCTACCGGTCCGCCGTGCGCAGTTGCAAGCGCGGCATTGGACATCCCAAGCAGGCGGCTCACCTCCCTTTGGTACAGGTAGCCGAGTTGTTGGGCGACAGTGCTCTAGCCCCAGGCGGTCCAACACATCCAGTGTCAGCGACCATACTCGCATCATGGTGGCTTTTGCGGGAGATTGAGGCATCTCGGGCACGCCGCAAGCACGTGACCATCGAGATAGCCGCACTCAAAGCATCATGGCGACTACCCAGTTCGAAGACGGATCAGGCAGCCCTTGGAGCGACGCGGTCACACACGTGCGCATGCTCCGTGCACACCATCAGGTTGTGTCCTTTCCACGTACTTTTGGAACATTTGGACAGGCTGCCGGACGGACCCGAACAACTTCTTTTCCCAGCTAAAGACGGATTGGAATCCACCAAGAAAGGTTGGGCCGATACCTTTGAGGCAATCGCCAAACGGCTTCAGTTGCCCACGGTGCACGACAACGGGGCACGAGCGTACACTGGACACAGCGCCAGAGTTACCGGAGCCCGGTTCATGGCCATGCACAACATTGAGTTGTGGCGAATTCAGCTGTTCGGCCGATGGGGGTCGGATGTGTTTTTACATTACATCCAAGATGCCCCAGTCGCGCAATTGGACAGACTGGCACTAGAATCGACCGCGGCCATGTCGGTGCGCAAAGCCCAGGAGGAACTCAGCACACTCCAACAACGCATCAAGGATTGCAAAGCAACCTTCATGCCTCCGGAATCGCAAATGTTGGAAGATTGCGAAGCCTCAGTGCACCTCAGTGTGCCCGATGAAAATCTGCCAGGTGTCAACATTTTAAACACCGCAAAAGGCGGCAGATATCACATCACGCTAATCTATAAGTTAGACATCCACCCACGCCGGTGGCGTACACGTTGCGGTTGGCCCTTTGGCAAGAACCAGGCCGAATACCGCATCTGTAAAGACATACCAGTCAATACTGCCCACCTCCGCTGTAGCAAATGTTTTCCCGGTTCCCGCCCGGCTGCCGCACCCTGCACAGCGTCGGACAATGAGGACACCGACACCTCCAACGATCCCTGCGCGTCAGACGCAAGTGGGTAGGAGGAATTTGGCACGGACGTTGGCGTCGAGTCAAGTGGCATTTGATTGGCGTCCCTGGTTGCCAGTTGATGAAATCCGACTGGTAACAGAGTGATGCGACTCGACGACCAACTTGGAAAATAGTGCTTCGACTCGTTAGGTGGGCGGTAGGGGTGATCACGTTGAGCATTGTCCCTTTGGATCCTTGGGGCCTTGGCATGAGCCCCTAGTAGCTTCCTTGCTCCTAGTAGCTTCCTTGCTCCTAGTAGCGATGCCAGGAGCCCCTAGTAGCTTCTTGTTCCTAGTAGTAAGGCCAGGAGCCCCTAGTAGCTTTTTTTAAAATGTTTTCTCAATTTGTTCTGACCAAAGTTGTGCTGCAGTGCCATTGGCGCTCAAAAGTGGGCTTTCACCGCTTTGCTCACTGAAGCCATGCATCGCTTGCAGCCATAGTTTCCAGATGTGGGTGGCAGGCCTGGCAGGTGGCTGCCTTAAGATCTTGGATTGAACCAAGTCTCAGTCCTCATCTGCTGTTCCTTCTTCACCAAGGCAAACAAGCCAGACCTCGGGCTTCTTTTCCGATTCAGGCACAGTGGGTTGCTCTGTCTTTTCAGCAATTGGCTTCTTTGGTTGTAGCTTGTACAACTTCATAACTTTCAACTGCAATATATAGTTCTAGTATGTTCTAGTTCTATTGCACCAAAATGGCGACAGTAGAGAAGGCTTTGTCAATTTGCTGAGATTGTCGTCAATTGCTGCTCTTCAGGTCATTTGGCAGTCTGCCACATACCCGAGAACTTTGTCACCTGGTTTTGCTAGAAGAAGGCCAGATCTTCTATTTTAAACATAGCAGGCGTTGACCAAGCAATGCCGTTAACAGTTGAAGCGTATGGGGCACTGCAGATACTGCGTGCAGGAAGCCTTGGCAGACACAGCTTGCTTTCTCATTCTGTACATCCTGCTCGCTAGCCACTCTGCGGCAGCGCTGCCGCAACCCGCAGGCTCCTTGGTTGCCAAACTCAGCCATCTTCGGTACAGCTTTTCTGAGACTCAAAAACTCGACTCATGCTGGTCAGGAGCTTTACAGTTCAAGTGGTGCGGTTCAGTCAGATGTACCACGCTTGGAATTTTTGGAGGATGAACCTTGGACATCTCAGCATCTGAGTTTTGCGCATGGAGATGACAGGTTGAAGGGAAGAGGTGACAATCCTGACAACGAGACGACTGCCATAAATCGAACAAGTGCGGTTTTGCTCCTTTGTCATCTTTGTCATAATACTATCTATCAGAGCTCTAATGATCGCCGAGGATCCTACTTGCTACACCATTGGTATCCTGGGAGACTTGCATTTGGATCCTCGAAACATGGAGGATTCCTTGCAAGGGCAGTTGTGACTCACCTGTCAAGTCAAGCCAGACATGTTAGGGGGCCGCATGCTATACCGCCGGACCAATCTTATAAGTCCACCTGGTGCGCGACCCGCAACGAACAATCGCAAAATCACGCAACCGAAAGCACCTGCTGCTTAGCTTGCAACGAAAGTTGCTTGCCAAGGCACATGAAGCATGCATTGGCAGAAAAACCAAATGC